CATAGAACGATACATCTCTATGTTTTGCGTGTTTTTGCCGCCTCTCCTTCCCTCTCCGTGTGATTCTGTGCACCGTTCTCACAGTTTGATTTTGTCAACGTAGAACGTTGTTCTCGTATTCGAGTGATTTATCTAAATGAGCGAGGTGTGTGTGTGTGTGTGTGTGTGCATGGGGTGGGGTGGAGTGGGGGCAAGGTGGATCCGAATTAAACAAAATGTGTGAACGAAATTTCCGGGTTGGTCTCCACGATTCCACGAGTGAAAGCAACCCGGGACAGTTTATTCAATCAGGCTTTTCAATCGGTTTAAAGGATAATGTGAAATGTCTCTCTCCCCTGATTGGTGGTTTGATGCTTCATAATCGGAAAATGAGAGAAATTGAAAATAGCTGTAAATGTTCAAAATGGAAGCGTATTTTGTTAGACAGTGTTCTCCTCCAGAGTTCTATCGATTTGGGATTTTGAGAGAAGTTTCATTTTCAAATTTTGTCCCTCTATAGGGTNTAGGGTTAACAAATAAGAACCATGATTATATAATCAATACATTCGCTCCCATTTAGATAAGGTGTTTGAACGGTGTGGGGGTGGCGGAGGAGAAAGAATCCATGTCAGTGTGCTGTACTGGCACACAAACAACCAGTTTCAGCGGTCACACACAAGGGAAGAGGTGAATCCGGCAGGAACTCAAACCAATAACGAAAGAAAGATACTGAGCTTTACCGATGAGTACCAAAAATGACGATATCCCTGCAAGTACAATACAATCACATTTGTAATTTATAAAATTCTGGATTGAGGGAGCAGGTGGGGACTACGCTCCACACGAAATTTGGGTGCGTTATGGAAAAAAGCTGTTGGCATAGGCATTTTTGTATTTAAAGATTAAATTAAACCTTCACAATATAGGTGCATGAAATAACGATATTGGTTAGAATACGATGACCGCGTTCTCATTTAGCACACATCGAACACACAGGGAGCAGTACATTCTACTACACCTAATCCCATCAAGCTTTACCCAAAACCCGCAATGCTTTATCCACAACCCGTAGTAGTTCGTTAGCTTCGACGCACGAACTTTAGTCATGCCCCTGTAGGCAAATCAGATCAAATAGTATTGGAATATACTGAGATCAATGAACGTTGAAAACAATTATTTTCCACAAATGCTGATGTTACAAAGCTTAGTTGAGAGAGTGTGGCGGTCGAACAATGCATCACATTTTGATTGAAGAAGGTTTAAACGATGTTCCTGTATCGTCAAACCAATTGACACATCTCGTACAGCATCAGTGTTTCCGTCTAACATGCGATACTTCTGTGAGTAAAAATCCTAAATGAACAACAAACGGGGTAGTTTCTTGCATTCACGAGCCCAGATATGAATCAAAATGAGGTACGACAAAAACGTAATACTTCGGTGCTATATCTTCACTTCAGGTGAACTCCATTTTTTGAGTAATGGACATATTAACAGTTCGAGAATAGTAAAAGCCGTTCACAAATAATACCCCCTTTAGTACACCTTTTCCCATCAAGCTGTAGGTAAAACCCGTACTTCTTGAGCCTCGACCGTCATAAATATTTCCAATATAAATGTTCATAAACTCATGACAGCATTGGGGGTGTCGTTCTGTGAACAGTTTTTATGATTCCCGGCCTAATACCGTATTCACATCTCAAGAACGGAGTTCACCTTAAGTGAGGCACATAGAAAACTTGTTCACTGAAGACAGTGAAACCATACGAGATGCGCCAAGTGGGTTGACGAAACGAGCACATCTTTTAGACGTTCTTCGATGAATATATAGTGTAGTATTTGATACGGCACAACATAGATAGGATCGCCACACTTTCTTGTTTCTTAACCTCAGAAGATAAACAAAAATAAGAATTCTTTGACTGGGTGCGTCGAGGTTAAAGAACTAAGGATCGTGGCTAAAGCATTGCGGCTATTGGCTAAAGAAATACTGATGGAGGCCAAGGGACTGAAAAGTTTGACTAAAACGTGACGGGTAAAGGTGTAGATGTAATTATCACCGCTTCATGCATTTTCGCAGAGTTACCTAGGCGCCGAATTTCAAATGCATCATGGATATATCGTTGATTGCACTTACCGAGATTCACCCCCTCATTTGGCTGCGGCCATTCAGATTTTTTAAAGTACAGGTGCAAACTGCAATCAATGGATGACAAATGTCTTAAACAGTCCAAGCGTTAAACCCCGTACTTTAAAGTTCTAAAGTGTAATGCTTAACCGGTTGGTATTGGTATTAAAATCCGTCAAAATTAGGTCTTTTTGCTTGTGTGTGTGCTGAACGAGAATTATCCTGATCATGTCATTTGGACAGCAGTTGGCAGTACAATGGAAGAAAAACATACCCCTATTGCTTGTTCCATCCTGCACATTGTCGAAATGTAAATTGTGTTTTTAGCGATAACCGACTTGCCACCCCAGAAACACTTGCGGAACTGGAGATTTTTGACTACATGAGTGACAGTTACGGTTATCAAACACCGCCAAATCAATGTAATACTGTTCAGCATTGTGACATAAAACTGTTCCACATAATTTTATCTTCAACACATGCTGTCATTTTGTCAAAATAAGAACCACTTCGGTGCATTGTTTTTTAGCAAAATCAAATACAGGCTGTAAAAGTTCCAGTTTACATGTCAACATTGGTCCAACTTTGGTTCTAAAATTATCATGTTATTTTTGTTTCCAAGCAAATTAAAATTACGTTTCTTTGTCATCCCGATCGTTTCCTGAACTTGGAACGTCAGAATCAATGAACTAAGCGGTTCAGCGAACCGGATTCCCATTCACTCATCGTTCGAATGAGGATGGGATCACTGAACACGGGTTTCGAATCCGCCACGCGGCCCCCATTACCTCCCAGACCTGCACTGCCCCCGATTATGGACAATCGCGTTCGGGCCAAATTGACACCGAAACAGTTGCCCTATCCGGCCTGTTCAACTAATTTGCGTCAGATGCTTCAATCGGGCTGTGCGGATCCTTCGGTGACACGGTGCAATTTATGTTTGCGCAGTTTACAAGATCTTGTCAGACAGGCCTATGAATTGGTGGTCCAGGACTCGCCAAATTGTCCGGTCATATTGAGTGCGGTAAGTCTGGTTGAGTGTATTTATTTTGGGCCATCCTCGCTCGTCCCTTCCCTTTGCCTTATCAGGGGGTCGGGGAATCAAACCTGTTGCCTAGTTACCGCAATGCTAATCAGTAAACAACTGTCACTATCGAGGCTCTAGTAATAAATCTTACAGTCAGCCATCTGTGTTGCTTCATTTTGAGCCGGTCAGCCAAGTTTTGCTCTCAAACACTGCCTCGAACTGCATAATATAAATATGCGAGATCAGTGGTAATGTGCCTCCCCCCCAAATGCATGTCTAGGTTACATGAAGCCTGCTTCAAGTTGCTTTCACTCATAAAGCCTGAGATTCTAGTTGGGGGACAAAGAATTGTGAAACAGTTGACAGAGATTGGATAAATTTTTCTCGTGAGAAGGGACAGTTTCCTCCACGGTTGTCGTCAATGTTTTGATGCTGATCAGTTTTGTGCCCCAGTCTTGATACAATACTGGCGGTCAATATGAAATGCATATCTGTAGCAGGGCGGCATTGAATGGAAACATATTTGAATACAGACAGCCTTTGTATGGCCGCAGCCTCCTTCCTGAAAATTGACTGTACATTTTTATATTCAATAAATAGAAAAAAGGAAGTAAAAAGACATTTCATATTTCATTTCACTTCATACACCTTTGACTATACATTTGTATGTTCCATTAATAGATAAGGCAATAAAAATACATTTTTTGTTGGTTATAATCAAGTCACGTCAAGCCCAATCTAATGTTTGTTGTATTGCACCCGTTGGAGATCCACTCGAATAGGGGAACGGAGTTTATTTAGTGCTACGAATTATATCGGTTAAAGTACGGTCTATGTGATACAAAAAATTGGGCGAGATCAGGAAGTGTCTAGGAGTTATATGCCTTGTAATTTACGGAAAGACGCCTAGGCAATCGAGCAATCGAGTCTGGAATGGAGAAGAAGAGAAACCCTTCAGTGTGTTTGCCTGTAAAGTGGTGAATTCTGAATGAAATATAAATGAGCTTTACATGGTCGAGTAGAAAGGTACAGGCTGAATGCGCTCTTGAGTAAATGCATTCTCAGAGGATTGCCAACTTTCTTGTTGTTGTTCTTCTTGTACAAATGTGCAATAGGTTGGAAAGAGTAAGAGCAGGTGTACATGCCGCCAACTGCCTCAATCAAGGAGATATTGCTAGAGGCATTTTTCACTTAAAATGTAATTCACACTCAGTTGTGAGTAGTTGTATGAGTGCTTATGAATGATCACTATGCACACTTTTCCTTGAAGTACAATCATAATTCATCCAGGTCTTTGTATTCTCGGGAAGCATTAGACTCGAACTTTGCCCACGTTATGATTCCTCAGTAGTGCATATCGATTTGGCCACTCGGATTTCGAATTTAAGACCACTAGAAATTTTTGCGAAGAATCCAATTTGCGAACTGATGCATCGAAGCATCGCTTGAACGAAGCAAACATTGCCATTCAAGTTGAACTTCCCCCTCTCTGTCTGCGCACATTCGGAAGTTATACTGTGCGTGCCATTCGCATCAGCGTGTCAAATTGTCATCATCATTGGCAAACCAGAACGAGACAATGGGACTGTGACTAGTACTCAGTTTTTTCCCAAAGATTTTTTGGTTGTCGTCGAATGCGTTTGAGCTGTGAATAATACCAACAGTGTTCCAATCACATCGGGCTAGTTTTGCATAAAAAATAATCGATTACTTATAACAGATTTCTCAACCCTCATCTCACTGGCGGGATGCGTTAGAATATTCCGGAAGCAGCTCAATCAATGTTGATTCGATCTATGGACACGGCACGGATGACAGCGGGAAGGTGCATCCATTCCGCAGAGCCTTCTGTATTAGAAACAAAGCTAAGAAAAGCTTCTCGGTGGGTCGAAACGAACTGCACATCGTTCTGAGACAAAATCTGCTTTGTCTTTTGCAAGCCATGTGAATGTATACAGCAGATTTTTCCCCCTATCAAGTGAACGAGTCCAAAAATCGCATCAGTGGTCGGTTTTTGTCACATTTTCATTGGTACTATTTGTAACTCTGCAACTCTATGCATTGTTTTCACCTTCAGGCCAATTTTTTGCTTTCATCTTAAACATAACTTGTCTGTTTCTATCATCTCTTTCTGTGAGTACTTATTTAACTGTTCTTGTGGGAAAAATCATATTGCCCGCACAAACAGACGTTTATCCGAACGAGTCCGTGAGCACCACCCGGCCTTGTGGAATAATGGAGTAAATAGGACTATCAACAGTTGGATCGTTTCACACCTGGTGAAATTGAATCACGTGGTTAATGAAGCCGAGGTGTTTCTACCCCTATACTTAGTTCGCAGCCGTCGATCTAAGAGGATAAAAATTCGCATTATGGCCACAGCGGAAGCGATCAGAATTCGCGTACATAGTCCCCCCTCCATTATGCTCTAAAAACAATCCGTAGATGCTCATTCGGTGGACTCCGGTGAATTCTAAGGAAAACCTGTCGGGGCAGTCAGCTAACATGATAATTGGTGGATGCCACATGCCTCTGTAAGTTGGACGGGTAAATTTGAATATGAAAATATTAGTGCTATCGATGTGGATTCGTAATTCAGCTGGTAGATTGTGCGCGTACAAAGCGTGGGCAACGTCCTTGCGTGGGTTCGAATCCCAACGAGGCTGCTGAACTTTTCACAATCGACATAACAAGCTCAAATTTTCCAAAACAACCATTTGCACAAATTTATAAGAACACTTGGTCTTCCATGGACAATACCAAACACGACAAAGCCATTCCCCACCCACTCCTGATGACCCGAACCAGTGCGCATGTGTGAAGACCAAAGTGTGAGCAACATCCGATCATGGAATTGGAATGTTGATTAGTTTCTTTCCAATTTGTCCTCATTAATAAATAGTTTGATATAAATTGTGATGTAATAGACTGTAGAAGAATTACCGCAAGCGACCTTGTTTGCTACTCTGTAATTTTATTGATAAAAAAATATCACCTTATTTTTCACTTGGATATATGGTGGAGCAAATGTTATAGTGTGGTTTCGTTAAATAAATTCTAGATTCGAATGAAAACAAAGTAGCCTGATTGGCAGTCTGCAGTTATCGCAGTTTCAGTTAGACCAGCAATTCAATTCGCAACAACCGTGCTAGGTTATTTTGGAGAAAAGTCCATTGAAAATGATTTCTGAGAGAATAAACTAATTTTGGGTTATCCGGTAATAGATCTAATAGAGCGTACATAGTTGCCCATGCGTGTGATTGACTCTCTTTTGGACAATCCGAAAATCCGGATCATAAAATAAGAAAATAAGAATCAATAAATCTTTATTTTCCCTACTCACGAGCAAATGAGCTTGATATTAGATGTGGTAGAATTATTGACTGATGGTATTATTTTCATGGTGGAATACGATGTGCGCATCAATGTATCTTCGGTTCGGACTACCCAAACATCCAACGAAATTCTTTCAGTGTCAATGTTGTTTTTTATTTAGTGTCAACTACTGGGGCTTATAATGTCAGGGTTTTAGCAATATACATTTTGGTATAGATTGGCCATCCTTCAGACCACATCTTCATGTATAACCCTCATTTCATCCAGTCAGCAATACATTCGAGAATCACCAGAGACTGGAGCTTCACTCTCACCAGAGTTCATCAATGGTGCATTATCCCGAACCCATCTCCGAACCCATGCCATCCAAGAAGGTGTGCTACCATTTCGTCAACCAGCTCACACCCTGGGCTGGACTGAATTACCAGTTCATGTTTGTTCACATCTGGTCTTCCATGTTAGTCTTTCAGTTGGTCAAATCCAGTTCAGTAAAATCTAATAAGTGGCTGTGAGCTGACTTCTAATTTCCATTTAGCCTGTATCGAACACAGTGCAATGCCCGCGATTTATAGTAACGTGGATTTACTTTCAGTCTATGGAAATTGACAATATGAGAGCAAAAGGCGGCAGGGCAGAAAACAGTTAGTAGTAAATCCATCAAAGTTTACAGTGGCTCAAAAATACTCGTTGTGGACTCGTCTTCGTGGATGTGGTGACCAACAAACGAAACCCACCTTGAAAAGCTGCTCATCACTTTAAAGCAAGAACATGATTAAAATGGTCACAACGAGTCAACGAATTAGGCATTTGGTTTAAACGTTGTTTGAGACAATGATGTAATATTTAATATAAAAAAGACAAGCGATGGTTTGGATCGGTGATGGGTGGTTGGTCAGTCTAGTGAAAAAAAATAAAGTAAGGTGTTCTTCAAGATATGATCAGACTTCATCGGTCCTATGACAATGCCTGACCCGACGTGAGGGTGGCAGTTTTTGAAATAGTTAGGCGGAACTTGGTTAATTAGTCTCCATCGAAGTCTTCCATAACCCGGAAGGATGAATAGTAAAATAAAGTTAATTAAATAAAGTGAGAGAATAAGATTGTTCTACGGACTGAATTAGTCGCAGCGTTTGTCCAAGAGCATGAACGCATATCGTTCTGACTACTATGAGTAGTATTAAATATTTAGTGAAATTTGAATTCCTCGGGGAGAGAAAACGGGTGAAGACTAAGCACACAAGCTGTTGATTCCAGACAGTTGTTATGACTCTACAGTATTTTTGGGGAAATTCGTGAATTATATGGATCTGTTTTAGTTACTTCTATCGATAATCATGCCACGTGACCGTTCTTTAATGTAAGATTCAAGGTTTTCAGCGGCGATTACCGCCCCTTATAATCCTAATTTTGCCTGATAATAATACACTGCGGCAATGCATTTGTACCCTCAATAAAAGCGTTGAATCAAACATACTGTTAAATTGAAATATTTTGGGAAATAATGGTTCAGCTGAAGAATGCATAAAAGAATGCTGTGTTTGACTGAACTGCCGATTACTTGATTCTCATGGCATTATTTGTATTTGTATTTGTACACCTTTTGCGGGCTGAGATATGCTTACATTTCAGTTAAAAATTGTACACCGGTCGTCACACTGGAG